CCAACTTCACCTTCGCCCCCCCCCACCACCCCCCCCCTTTCAAGACTTCTAGATATGCCACTGATCAAACCTCCAGGCAACAGCTCCACACCATGAATATTTATCAATGGAATTTACATTGTACTGTATTTGTAATAATGTACAGTAGTAGTATATATGTTGTAGTTTGTAGATATTACAAGTGTGACTGATTACCGACTTCAATATTAAAAGCACAAACTACATAGATTTATATAAGGCTTGTAATATTGATATTTAATACCGGTAACTGTTTAGACAACTGAATTATTTTTTTTTACAGCTGCAAGGTTGAAAATAAATGAAGAATTTAAAAAGAACAAATCAATAGAAGATACAGATGAAATATCAAAGGTAAGAGATTTTTTCTATAAAGCCTCTTGCTTTTAGAAATTACAGTAAAATGAATTTATAACTGTTTTTTCAGGGTTTGAATGTCCTCAATATGCTCCATCAGCAAACAGTTGCTGTTGGCTGTGGATTTACAGCAATTTATTCTTCTACAGCAACAAGATTCATACAGTTTTTTTTTTAAGAATAGGCCTATTCTATAAAAGTATATTCATTACTAGGCCTGGATCAGGTAACTCAACAACAGAAATTGCTGTTGAGCCTGGGATTTACAACAGCAGTGGAGGGCCCTTTCTACATCAATTGCTGTGGGTGCTGTGGGGAAATTCTAACAACAATGTAATAACAGAAATCAAAGTTAAATAGAATTGACATGCTGATTCAGTGGGAGGTTGGTCAGTCACAAAAATCTCATTTGTCTATTTTTATATTTCTTATTCGAACATTTGAGGTAGTGTATATCCAAATAGTAATCTAGTATGTAAATGAAAAACATTAATATCTTCCATATTTTTTTAAAAGATTAAAATTATTATTATTTTTTTAATTTGTTAGTTGGTGAAAATTGGTGAGGATGCAGAATTGTTTCTGAGAAAGAAAGTGGTTCAAGCAGAACACAAATCAGATGGAATTGCTGGTAAGATGCTATGTGGTCATCCATTCATCCATCCAATCCGGCTGTCCATCAATCATCCCATCCATCCATTTAATTTCAAATAATATTTATTGCAATCAAAAAGAAAGATATCTGATATTACAATATTTGTCCAGGAATTAACATAAAAAATGAACATCAAAAATCACAAAAACATTAGGATATTCAAGAAATATTAAAAAAGCACACAAATATATTCAGGATCTATCACCCATCCATCAATCATTCCATCCATCTAACTATCTATCTCCATCCATCCATCCATCCATCTGCACCCACCCAAAACCGAAATATATAATGTTAAGATTCAATCTAAAGTAATGTGTGTTTATTTAAATTATTTATTTAATTTTTTTGACTTGTATCAACAGCAGGGACATATCTAAGGAGAAATGTGAGGGTGTACACTGCCTATAAACGCTTTTCTAGGACTCCATCAACCATATCTG